GCCCAGCACGTATCGTTTTTGAGAGTTTGAGAGCTCCTTAACTGAATATGTGACCTTATGTCCTTATTAATAGCAACGTCAAATTAAGGCAAGTAAATTCAGATTTGACTGAAACCTTAGTGCTCGGGGACTTCGGTTCCTCCAAGCACAAAGGTGTTTACGCATAGGGAGAAGATAAACAAAAAATTCGCTCTCAAGAAGATTAGCTCTTCAATAAGGGTTTACCTCGAGCGAGTCACAAACCCAGAGGGATGACCACGGCTTTTAGCCGGCATGTTTTTAGCGTACTGAGTGCTATCTGAGAGCAACAGCTGCCGCTGGGCAAATTTTGGGCTTCCTCCTGAAGATCCTTTACTTCCATTTGTTGGGATCCCGGACTGTTTTGTTCTGCCGAAAACAAATGAACTTTTTCAGTGCGTCCCGCAGTAGAAGTAGAAGTCGCAGTCGTTCTCGTTCTCGTTCTACCTCACGAGTTCAGATCCCGGATCACAGACTGTCCCTTATCGCACCTTTTGTTGTGAGCATTTGATTGTAACACTGACAACAAGCATTTGATTCCATTGATATGTGGAATGCTTCAGATTCGCTCCTGCCAAACTGTGCGAGTTGATCCGGATAGTGAGCAGATAATAATCTGTTCAAGTATAGTATTACACTCATATGGTATGAGTTTTGATGAACGAAAAGATGAGCTCAAAAGCCTTGTTAGAGTACGTGTTGGGAATATTTGACAGAAGCCCCCGATCAAGCTTGGCTATTTGCCCATTTTCAGGCCCGTCCAGCCGTGGTGAATGTGAAAACGATGAAAGATGATGAATTTCAAGAAGAAGGAACTGTGCAGAATGTACTCATTGGAAAACAGATGATCGTTGTCGAAAGGAAGACGAGACTTTTGGTGAGAGGCATTTAAGATTCTTCTTTTGTTGACTGGAGTCATGCCAATGTGAGCTGGTATTTGCATCAGCATCAGGAAGCTCGAGGAAAATCTGAGTCAACGCTCCGAATGTAAGCGTGGGCGATTTCAACATGGGCTATTACACCTACCATCCTCCCTGTCAAAGCGATCAGTTTCGCAATGCTGAGGCAAAAGGTCCCGGTGGACTTGTTGCTCGTATACCGTTCAGTCGATGTTCATACTTCCACCGACGACGTCAGATACCCATCGGATATAGTATTGATCTATCAACAATCATCAACATCAACA